CTTGCCCTATGGTTTTTCCTTTTTATAACAAATGACACAAAGACAGAGACAAGGAAAAATACTATCTCTGGGAGAAAAAGGATCTACTTAACCAATGAGTACTCAACCAGATCCTAGCATTGCTGAGTCCAAGAAGGTAGCTTCACCAATATTTTCTCCTGCTAACCTAAATTTAGAAAAGAAAAAAAAACTCACCACTCTCACTTCCACTGGACCCTGCAGGCAGAGATCAGGGAGACTGACGTGGTAAGAACTCTTACCTCCTGCTGGCTTTTGTCAGGGGTCCAGGATCTCTCTGCTGTACTAGTTCCAGGAGAAAGCAGTTATTCCAGCCAGAGAAGGCTACTTGTTAGCCAGTGGGGATCCTGCCGACTATGCCAAAACTGTTGGGGAAGGAGAATTCCCCCCCACTCTTTCCCTTAAGGTTCTTATGGCTGGCCAAATAATTAAAAAGGCAGGTTAACAGGAGAAAATAAAACAAAGTTTAATAACATGTATACATGGGAGAGACCAAGGGAAAGTGAGTAACTCAACAAAATGGTGGAGGTTCTCATCTTAAATACTACCTTCAGCTAAAGACAAAGGAGGATGTTGGGGGTGTGGGGAGTCAGTTATGGGAGATTACCAGAAAAGCACAGTAAACAAGAGTAAGGTTATTATGTAGATTTAAGGCCTCACCTTCCATATTGATAAGTTTCTAGAGATGAGGTCATCCCCCCATCTTTCTGGTACAGAGAGGGAGATACCTTTACAAATGGAGATTTCCCTTACAAATGTAAATCTTTGGTAAACAGAATTTTGATAAGAATGGGCTTAGCAAGGACCCTCCCAGTCTATCCATACCCAGAGTTATCTACGGTGATGGCCTGTCCTGGAGACAGGTCTTCTATCTTAAATTCTTTTAGGCAGTTAGTGGAGGGGGGAGAGAGCAAAGTTCCTTTCAGAGAAAATAATCAAGGTAAAGAGACATATTTTGAGGTGGCCAATTCTGATCCCCCACAGTAATCATACAATATGTGACATTTTGTGTCTGGCTTCTGTCACTTAGCATAAATTTTTTGAGGTTCACCAAATTTGTAGCATGTATCAGCACTTCGTTCCTTTTTATGGCTGAGTAATATTTCACTGTATGGCTATAACACAATTTGTTTATCCATTCATTCATTGATGGGCATTTGAGTTGTTTCTACTTTCTAACTAGTATGAATAATACTGTTATACACATTTGCATACAAGTTTCTGTGTGGTCCTATGTTTTCGTTTTTCTTGGCTGTTTTACCTAGGAATAGAATTGCTGGGTCATATGGCAATTCTATGTTTAACGTTTTGAAAAGCTGACAAGCTCTTTTCCACAGAAGCTAGATGATGCTCTTACAGAGCCTCAGGGTCTGGGGCCTGAGCACCCCTGCATGGAACCCCAGGTCTGAGGATACCCAGGGTGCATGTTGGGTGTGACTTTCTCATGTAGGGCTACTCTCTTGGAGGATCCTCAAGTGACAAGGCAGATGCAGGGCACTGCCCTCAATTAGCTCTAAGACTCCTGGGCAGGGGGAGCTGAGATCTGCAGACAGGGATGATGTGGGAGAGGGGGCAGGAAGATTCCTATTAACAACTCCAATCCCACTCCAAATGCCAGGAAGATGTGACTCAAGAACCAGACCTCCTGCATTCAAATCCTGGCCCTGCCAAGTGCTAGCTGTGTGACATTGTACAAGTTACTTCACGGCTCTGAGCCTAGTTTTGTCATCCATAAAACAGTGATGATAATATGAACAACTTCACAGGGTTGAAGTGAGGTTACATGTGTGAAAATATGAGGCATGGAACCAGAGCCAATGGAAGCCTATTCTTGTCTCCGGGCGGTGGTCTGTTAGGGTATCTGTCTCCCTGCTGGCTTGGGGGACCCCCACCCCAGGGGAGGGCAGGACTCACCTCTGGGCCTCAGTGTCAGAAACACGGCTGGCTGGGAGTAGGGTGGGGGATGGGCAGAGAGTGTGAGGCAATGGCAAACATTTGCTAATTCAAACAGTTGGAAGTGCTGGCTCAGTGGGGAACAGGGTGAGAGTCACGCCGAGATAAGATACCAGACTCTCTCCTTGGGTTCCAGCTGGCACCTAGAACTGGAAAGCCTCAGGCTCAAACATCTCCTGCCAAAAGTAACCAGTGCAGCTGCCTGAATCCTTTTTTGGCAGCCTCCCTGGTGGGACCATTTCCTCTCCCTTGATCTCTTTTTTTTTTTTTTTTTTTTAAGATTTTTATTTATTTATTTTTTACCCCCAAAGCCCCAGTAGATAGTTGTATGTCATAGCTGCACATCCTTCTAGTTGCTGTATGTGGGACGCGGCCTCAGCATGGCCGGACAAGCGGTGCATCGGTGCGCGCCCAGGATCCGAACCCAGGCTGCCAGCAGCGGAGCGCGCGCACTTAACCGCTAAGCCATGGGGCCGGACCCCTCTCCCTTGATCTTGATCAATGAACTTTGATTCATAGGCTTGGGCACGCATAAGAGAGAGAAAGAGAGGGAGAAACAGGGAACTAACCACAATAAGATACTGCTAAACACCCATTAAAATTAATCTAATGTGAGAGACTGATAAGACCAAGTGTTGGTGAGGATATGGAGTAATTGGAACCCTCGTATATGGCTGGTGGGGATGCAAAAATGGTATAGTCACTTTGGAGGACAGTTTGGTATTTTCTTTCAAAGTTAAACATACATTCACCATATGACCCAGGATTTCCACTCTTAGCTATTTATCCAAAAAGAAATAAAAGTATACGTCCACACAAAGACTTGTCTGAAAATGATCATAACAACTTTATTAAAAATAGCCAAAAAAGTAGAAATCACTCAAATGTCCATCAACTGATGAAGAGATAAAATGTGGCATATGATTTACGGAATACTACTCAGCAATGAAAGAAAAGTACTGGATGAATCTCAAAAACGTTATGCTAAGTGACAGAAGCCACTAAAAAGTGATTCTATTTCTATGACATGGTAGAAAAGGCAAATTATAGCAAGAGGACGCAATTTGGTGGTTGCATGGGACCGGGGTCAGGGAAATGATTTATTGCAAAGGAGCACGAAGGACCTTTTTGGGGCAATAGAAGCATTCTAAAACTTGATGTGATGGTGGTTGTATATCATATACACTGGACCCAAATTTATCAAACTGTATACGTAAAATGGATGAATTTAATTGTATGTAAATTATTCCACAATAAAGCTGTTAAAAAATAAGATTACTAAAACTAGACCTAAAAACTAGTCCTGGGAACCCACTTTTGGGAAGTATACTGTGCATTTGCAGGACTGAAAAACACACAGACACATGCATACCATGAGTGCTTAACAAATGCTTTCAGGATGCAGAGGAAGCATTATGCACCAGTCAGTGTTCACTAAAAAGAAAGCTCCTTCCCTCTCCCAGTTCCAGCCAGTTCAGGCTTAAGGTTATCCTTGTCTGCCATCTGGTGGCCACAGCAGGCAATGCAGGAATTTCCATCTTTCACGCCCAACTTCAAGGAGGCTCTCTGGTTGGACGTAAACACAGTGGAGAGAAAGAAGGGGAACTTTCCTCCTGAGAAATCTAGTGCCTGGAGAGGGCAAGCTGGTCAGAGGTAGGGGCCTAGAGGGAGTCCTGGGTCTATGAGAAGAGGGACATTGCCTCTTAGTGACAGAGAGAAAGTGCTTTGGTGGAACAAAGAGGCAGGGTGAACACAATTTGGTACCTTCGCATGCTGGGATAAAATATAAGAGAGGGGTTTTTTTTGGGGGGGGAGGGGAGCAACGTTTAGGGAAAACAATGAGGTAAATAGGAAAACTAATCATGTGGATGCCCACGGTGAGTTGGAATATGCTCAGCAGAAGGGGCGGTTGTGGGAGGTGGCAAGGGGAATTTCAAAAGGCAAGAGGAGACCTCCCTGGATGGAGAGGCCCTTGGGAGACAGGGGACAAGAGTCTCTTCTCCTAGCTATGCCTGGACCTCTGACCTCTCAATCTTACTTCCAGGAAATATCCCACAGATAAACATCTTCACCCGTGTGCTACAATCGTCTAAAGTTTGGGCCCTACAGTGTCTGCATAACCACTGAGAACAAAGGCAAACTTCCAGAGGCAGGTGACTGAGGAACCTGCCTGGTGCTCCTGGCCACCGCATAGCTGGCCCAGGCTTCAGGGGCCCATGGACAGGCCCAGTCCTGCTTCTTACAAAAAATGGGGCCAGTCACTTCCGTGGGACAATGATAAGTGTGTGAGTGGGTTGTTTAAATGTCAATGATAGATGACATTTAATCTAGGGGGACAATGGGTGAGGACAGGGACTTTTATGTTCTCAGTAGTTGGTAGCCTCCGTGGCTGAGATCTCAGAGCTCCCAGGCTCCTGGTGTCCAGGTTTTCTATTGGCCACTTACAGATACAAGAGCATGTGGGGCTTGCTGAGAGCCAAGTGTGGGCAACATTCCCCAAAGCACCCTCCTTCCAAGGGAGAGGAGAGAGAGGTTGGGGAGTGGGTGGAGGTGAGGAAGGGAGGATGAGGCCTGGGGCCCAGTGGGGTGTTGGGGAATGTGAACTTCCATTGGGGTTTGCCCATCCACAGCTTTGTGGGAAAATTTATTGAGTGTGTCTGACAAGAGAGGATCCATGACGGGCTTGGCAACCAACATCATGCAGTAGATTCTTTTTTTTTTTGGTGAGGAAGATCAGCCCTGAGCTAACATCCATGCTAATCCTCCTCTTTATGCTGAGGAAGACCGGCTCTGAGCTAACATCTATTGCCAATCCTCCTCCTTTTTTGTTCCCCCAAACCCCCAGTAGATAGTTGTATGTCATAGTGGCACATCCTTCTAGTTGCTGTATGTGGGACGTGGCCTGAGCATGGCCGGAGAAGCAGTGCTTCGGTGTGCACCCAGGATCTGAACCCAGGCCGCCAGTAGCGGAGCACGCGCACTTAACCACTAAGCCATGGGGCCGGCCCATGCAGTAGATTCGTAATAGATGTTTGCTGGATGGATGAATGGAAGGATGAATGAATGGCTGTGTGAATGAAGGAAAAAATTAGTGGCTCCTCACTGTGTGTGGGCACATCTGGCAGACCCCTACCTGCACTCAAGCCCACCTCTACCCCCTCATCTCCAACACAGGGAGCTACAGCTCTGTGTGTTTCTCCTTGGCCTGCATTAGCTCATGGATCTTCTGGGGCAGGGTTTTCGTCCAGAACTGGAACCTGTGGGCCTTCAGGGCCCGGCCCACTGCAGGTTGCAGGTTCAGCTGCAGGTATTGGTCCTCCTGGTTGAACATGGGCCAGTGGGGCAGACCTTCACCGTTGGGGTTCCTGTAGACATGCCCTCCCACCAGGGCAGTGCAAGGGTCACTCTGAGCCCTATGGAGCCTAGGCCTGAGCACCTTGACTGGGGTCAGGCAAGGCAGCCAAACAGGCCAGGTGGGCATGGGGAATGAGAGGGGGAGGTTTCCAGATGTAGGAAAGAAACTACCTCCCGCTAGAGTGTCAACTCCACTAGGGGGCGGGGCAACCTTTGGCCCTCCCTGACAGAGGGAGGCTCTGCCAGCAACATAGCGCTTTCACTCCCCCTCCAGGTCACCCGGAGATGGAAGGAGTGTCCAGCACCCACAGGTCCCCTCTCTGTCCATATGGGTCCTGGAGCTGGGGAAGAGGCCGCCATGCAGTTAAGGACACATGTATGCTAATGAGGTCATCACAGACAAGGGGAGCCCTGGATGGGTTCAAGCCCCCCATGGAGGTTGAGGTAGGGCTGCGACATCTCACCCGTTTCGGGCAAAGTTGGCCCAGTACTTCATTATCTTTCTGCTCAGCAGCTCCTCCTCTTCAGTGATTTCAACTACAGAGAGCAACAGGACAAGGGTCCAGGTCAGGGTGAGCCCCAGTCTAGCACATAGGTCATCCCCCCCATACCTACCATCCCAGGTGTAGCTTTTCCCTGGCTCTTCCTCTGTCCTCCCAGGGCTGGCTCTCTGCCCACTCCCCCAGAGCCCAGAGGAGCCAAGCTCTCCCCTTGCCCAAATCCCGCATATTCATCCCGGCTTCTGGCTGACCCGACACTAGGCTCATTCCTGACCCAGAAGGCTCCCTTCTGCCTTCTGACACTGGGAAGGCATTTAAGAAACAAATATGCCTTTGAAACACCCCGCTCTGTACCGATGCCAGATATCCATGGTAGGGGTGGGGAGACGTGGAGGGAGCACAGGCCCCAGGCTGAAGAGTCTTGGACTCCAATTCTAGCTCAGCCTCTCTAGCTGTAAGATCTTGGACACATGATCCCATCCTCTCTCTGAGCCTCAGTTTCATCATCTGTACAGGGAGGGCAATCACTCTCACTCAGGGACCCAGCCAAGGTCCCATCCCACATCCTGGAAATGAGGAGCCTCTGAGGAACCTTGCCCAAGAAGACTCACTGTAGCTGCTCCAGAGGTAGTTTCCGAAGACAAAGAAAACCTCATCGCCGTGGTCTGCCTTCACATGGGGTGGCTTGACGTCCTTGAAGAAGCTGGGCCGATGCTGGAACTCGTAGAAGTAGACGGGGGCATGGAAACCTAGTGGGGCGGGGTGAACAGGCTGTGATGTGGCAGCCTCTCACCTGGAGCTTTCCTGCATCACCTATGGTGATGAGATAGCTAGGTCCAAAGCTGGTTGGAATCTGGATAATGGGCTGGGGAGCCCCAGGCTGGAGCAGGGGCAGTGGGAAAGGCCTGGGTTCAAATCATGGTGTTGGAACTTCCTAGCTGTGTGGTCTTGGGCAAGTCACTGAAGGTCACTGAACCTCAGTTTCCTTATCTGTAAAATGGGGAAAATGTCTGTCTCCCAGACTAGCCATGCGAGTTTACCGAGATGAGGGACATCAGTGCCTGGCACCCAAGGGCCCAATAAATAGACGTGGGTTGAGACTTGGACACAGTAGAACTCACCTGGGACCAGCGGCTCTGAGCCACCCCCTTGCTAGTCTGGCCTTTAGTTACAGATATACTCACGCTGAAAATTTGCTACTCGGAGTGCAGGGATCACGAAGATGGAATCCCCCATCATCTCATGGAACTGGATTTGGAGGGTCTGGGGGTCCTCACTGTCCCCCATGTACTCCTCCATCACCAGGTCACCAAACTCAGGAGGCAACATCTAGCCCAGGTGGATCAGGAAGAGTCAGGTTAGGCAGGCTGGCAGGGGCAGGGAGGCAGCAGGAGCAGGGTTGGGGAGATGGATCCTGATGGGATGGGGGTGGGGGGAAGGGGCTAAGCTCTGGGGTGACCCTGGCCTTTACTCATGGGGGACGCTGCATGGGCAGGATATCTGGGGAGTGGGTTTCCCCTGCCTTGGGACAGGAAAGGAGCCCTTCTCCACTGGGGTAGGACTCCAGGAGCCTCACCGTCATTGCTGATGTCTTCTGCAGAACAGCCTTCATGGTCTCTCTGTCCATTTCCCTCTGGGTGTCAGAGGTGCCTATGCTCTGGGTAATGGAGGAATCTCGAGTTGGGGATAGGAAGGGCCTGGACTAGGAAGCCCTGGGGCCCCGCCCACCGGATGGGCTCCCCAGAACCTGGGGGCTTGGGGCTAGGCCTCACCGAGGGGATGATCCAACCATATTCATCATTGTTGACACCAATGATGCTGGGGACAGGTTGAAAGTCGGCAGAAGCCAGCAGCACCTGGGGGTGCCTGGGCAGGAAGATCCCATCCACCACGCCGGGGATGATCTTGAAGGCCTGAGGGGGCACACAAGGTCAGGTCACAGACATTTTCTGATGCCCTCTGAGTGCCTTCCAACCCTTCCCAGCCCACCCCAGGATGCTCACACCCACCCCAGGAGGTCCTACATCTGGCTTAGCATGGCCTAGCCTCGATTTCCCATCCAGGGCTGTGAGGACACGAAGGCATGGGGATGGAGTAACTTGCCCGGGGAGTATGAAGGGCACCAGGTTTGCCTGCCCCACATCTATCAGCCCCCTTCCTCCACAGCCATGTTCATTCAGCTTGACCTTGTTGATGGCCAGAATCTCCTCTTCACTCTTGCCCCGCAGGCAGTCCACCAGGGCCGCTGAGTCAATCTGGCCACAGGCAGACAGGTTGGCCACCATCTGTAAAGAGACCAGGCAGGGGAAAGAGGTTTGCCCAACACCCCAGTTGGAGGCAGGTGCACCCCAAATCTCACAGAGTATCACGATACTTAGCCTCTGCGATGGCAGAGGTCTGTGGATTCTGACCCTTGAACCATCCCCGGATAGGCAGCACATCCCAAGACGCTCTGATGGCAGGGGAGTCCTTGTTATCCCCGCTCAACAGACAGAGTAATGGGAGCTGAGAAGTAAGAGATGAGGCAGCAGGTCTAGGCTTCCCACGGTTGGGGGCACTCACTGTGGAGACCACGTCAGATGAGTTGGTGATGAGGTCAGGCAGCAGGGCCACGCCACTCTCCATGATAGCACGGTGGAAGAGTCCTTGGGACATGGGGGACACAATGTGCGAGGACACACTTGTGCCACCCGCAGACTCGCCAAAAATGGTCACATGGCCAGGGTCACCTCCAAAGTAGGCGATATTCTGCTGGACCCAGTGTAAGGCAGCCACTTGGTCCAGGTAGCCCCAGTTGCCAGCTGCATGCTTGTCTCCAGTGCTGAGAGGTGGCAGGGACAGGGATCATGAGGCTGCCTGGCTCCACTCAGCCCATGTTGCCCAGCCCAGCCCCAGTCTCACCTGAAGAAGCCCAGAACACCCAGGCGGTACTGGATAATGACCACCACCACATCCTCGAAGGCTGCCAACACGGAGCCGTCATACATGGAGGCCATGCCCAGCACAAGCGCACCACCGTGGATCCACACCATCACCTGGGAAAACCAAGGCACAGACACTATGTGGCTCCCATCCAGCCCAAACTCTACCAGGGCTCTGACCTAGACAAACCACTGCTCAAGCGGTGACAGGGTGGTGTCTTCATGATCTGGACCAAAGGTGACTCAAGTTCTATCGGGAAAACTGGGCCTCCCATACTTTGGGGCCCACTCCATGTACCAAAATCTGGCTCCATTTCTCCCAGAACCTTCTCAGAGGTGGAAAGAAAAGGGGCATCTCCCTGATCATCCCACGTGCACATTAATTAAAAGTGATCTCCATTCTCAATGGCCCAACCGATAATCCACTGCTGAGGTCACTAGCCGCCTCCAAGTGCAGCCCTCAGGCACCTGAGTGGGTCTCCTGGGCATAAGTGGGTGAGGTGAGTCCTGGGTCCATCACAGAGCCACAGCTTCTGACCTCTGGCGGCAGCCAGGGTTCTGTGACCCCATGCCCAGGGGTGAGCCGCCCACACTGGGGAAGAAGCACTCTCTTGGACCTGACAGTGAGAGGCTTCTCTACAGGGTCCACACTGCAGTGGGGCCCAGGCTGATTTTCTCCTTTCTAATCTTCCTGCAGAACAAAAGTCCTCCCACATCCTAGCCAGCGTGGCCTGGCACTCACAGGCAGGTTGGAGCCCTCGTGGGTATGGGCAGGTGTGTAGATGCTGAGGTACAGGCAGTCTTCAGACATGGAGGTGGAAGGCAGGGACACATTCCACAGTTTCAGGGCTATTGAATCCATTCTAGCAAAGTTCTGCAGACACCTGGTGACCATGGCAGGCAGTCAGTCCAGGGACCATGCTGTGGCCAAAACTAGATGCTGGGCTCAGATTTGCTCCCAGCCACCCTAGTCCCCCTTCCCCTGATACCCTACTCATACTTGGTCCCTACCAAGTTACAGGCCACAGGCTCTGGGGACGCTGGGATGGACCCCAGTCTTCCAGGGAGGCCTCAAGGTTGTGAGGGCCTTGGGTACAAATCCTCCCAAGGCTGAGAAATCTTGACTCTTGGGGGTCTTTATGACAACCATCAGTTGCATGTGTGGACACTCACCACTGTCCCCCGGTACCCAGACAGGCCCGGAACAGGGGAGTAGGCCACATGCACGTGCTGCCTGAATGAATGGATGTTACCTTCTCATGAGAAGGGCAGTGGGACCCCCCTCATCCCAAGTCTAGATGCTCAGGGAGCCTCATCACTCCTGCAGTTGCCGGTTGTAAGAACATACACAGTCCCTTAGCCAGTGGCACCTGGCCCTGTCGGTTGGTACAGTGACTGTGGAGAGGGGGGGTTCCCCACTCCTCAGGGATCTATAGTATTGCTGCTCGAGTCAGGGGCTCCTACAAGGTTCAGGGAGCCATCCTGAACCCCTCCAGGAGACACCTCCCCCTGGGGGCAGAGAACACATGACATAGCTGGAACGTAGGCAGATGTGTGTCTCTGCTCATCTCGTCAGCACCTGGAGCTAATGCCCTTTGAGCGCCAAGCCCTGAGCCTGGGCAAGTTACTTCATCCTTCTGAGCCTCAGCATGCTCATCAGGAAAATGCACATGGGAATCGCCCAGACCTAGAAGGAAAAGTGGCTGTGGGGGTTTAGATGAAATGAAAACTGCAGCCTGGCCCAGAGTTCAGAATACCCTCCACCCCAGGGCTTGGAGTTCCCTGGACCCTCTGCTTACATGGCTGGGTGGGAGGTCCCATCCTTTACACCACTCCAAGATTCAGGGGGCTCAGGGGGTGCAAATCGCAGTGGCCCTAGAGGCGGCTTGGCAAAGGGAATTCCCAGGAAGGTGTGGACCCCCACGTCAGTGCCCTTCACATGCACGAGGCTCCCCCGCACCTGCCCCGTGTACGTGGTCCGGATGGGGCTGGCAGAGTCCTGGCCTGTGGGCAGAGAAATGGACATCAGGGTTGGGTTTACCCAATCAGCTGCCCTCCCAGACTATTAATGTTGCTGCCTCCTTCCCATCCGCAGCTCAGCTCAAGGGATCCTGATCTACAAACACTTGCTTTACAAATTTCCTGCCTGTAACCCTGCCCCTACTCCACTGCCTTCCCTAGGTCCGGCCCCAGCCTTTTCCACCACTCTCAGAGAGGCCCCTTGTGGCTTGGTATCATGGTTTAGCCCCAGGAGCTTCAAACAATGATCACATGAGCTTGATGGGCTGAGAATGTCCTTTCACTGACTGAGTGCCAGGTGAGATGAGGCAGCAGAACTGTGGGGCGTGGACAGACAAGGTTCCTGTCCTTAGGAATCTCATGCTCTAGGTGGCAAGAAATGACATAAGGAAAGTATCCTCCAAACAGAATGTTGTTATGAGGAGAACTACAAAAGAGAAGTGCAGCTGTCACTAGAACGAAAGAGCTCAGCCTGTCCTGCTATGGGGATTAGGGAGGGAGGAAGTGATTGAAAGTCACCTAACGGAGAAAGAGCCGATATTCTCAATAGATAAAGAATTTCAAGTGAATGAGAAAATGAACAAATGAATAAGAAATATGCCACCTGCGCATATTTGGGGAAAGGCTATGAAATGGTGAAAGGATCTGTTCAGACAGAATAAGGAAGACAAATAAATGGTTCTCACACAAATGAAGAGATGTTCACCTCACTTGTGCCTGGAGAAATGCACATTGAAATCTGACTGGGATGACAACAGTTTATTTTGTCACAGAAAGCAAGACAATCAGACATTGTGTGTTTTCTATTGAAGTCCCAGCACCACATACGAAGTAGTCTTGCCACAAAACAAAACAAAGCAAAACCTAACATCCAAATCTGATCAAGCCTCTAGAATATAAATACAAGTTTACAGGCATATAAATACAAGTTATACAGAGAAACAGTTAAAAGACACTAATCAGTTAAACCCAAACTCGGGATCCTCTCTAGAGAAATAAGCTGGTTTCTTCCACACAACAGCAAAATTACAAGGAAAGTAAAAGAAAGGCAGAGGAGGAATCTGAAGATTGAAAGAGACTCACAAAACATGTCAAAAAGATAGATAATAACAAACGTTGGTAAGGATGTGGAAAAATTGGAACCTTCATACATTGCTGGTGAGAGGGTAAAATTGTGCAGAAACTTTGGAAGACAATCTGGCAGTTCTTCAAAAGGTTAAATAGAGTTACCATATGACCCAGATATTCCACTCCTAGGAATAAGCCCAAGAGAATTGAAAACGTGTCCACACAAAAACTTGGACATGAATGTTCACAGCAGGATTATCTATAGTAGCCAAAATGTGGAAACAGGGGCCGGCCCGGTGGTGTAGTGATTAAGTTCAGTGTGCTCTGCTTCGGCAGCCCAGGTTTGCGGGTTCGGATCCCTAGCTCACACCTACACCACTCATCAAGCCATGCTGTGGTGGTGACCCATATACAAAAATAGAGGAAGACTGGCACAAATGTTAGCTCAGGGACAATCTTCCTCGCCAAAAAAAAAAAAAAAAAAGTGGAAACAATTTAAATGTCCATCAACTGATAAATGGATCAATAAAATGTATCATATCTACACAATGAAATATTATTCAGCAATAAAAAGAAGTACTGAACGTGATACAACACAGATGAACCTTGAAAGTATGATGCTCAGTGAAAGAAGCCAGACACAAAGGACAACACATTGAATGATTCCATTTATATGAAATGTCCAGAACTGGCATATCCATGGAGACAGAAAGTAGACTGATGGTTGTCTAGGGCTGAAGCTGGGGGAAAGGGGAACTGACATGGTGAACTCTGCGAACATACTAAAAACCATTGAATTGTACACTTTAAATGGATGAATGGTATGCTATGCAAATTATATCTCAAAGCTGTTATTAAAAAAAAGAAATACATCTACCAATTTTCAAAGTATGAACCTTATTTGAATCCTGATTTTTCAAAAAATAACCCTGTAGGGGCTGGCCCAGTGGGGTAGTGGTTAAGTTCGCATGTTCTGCTTTGGTGGCCTGGGGTTTGGATCCCGGGCGCAGATCTACACACCACTCATTAAGCCATGCTGTGGTGGCATCTCACATACAAAATAAAGGAAGATGGGGGCCAGCCCAGTGGTGCAAGCAGTTAAGTGCGCGCGCTCCACTGCGGCGGCCCGGGTTCACCGGTTCGGATCCTGGGCGCGCACCCGACGCACTGCTTGTCAAGCCATGCCGTGGCGGTGTCCCATATAAAGTGGAGGAAGATGGGCACGGATGTTAGCTCAGGGCCAGTCTTCCTCAGCGAAAAAAGAGGAGGATTGGCAGATGTTAGCACAGGGCTGATCTCATGAAAAAAAAAAAAATAGAGGAAGATGGGCACAGATGTTAGCTCAGGGCTAATCTTCCTCACCAAAAACAGGAGGATTGGCAATGGATGTTAGTTCAGAGCCAGTCTTCCTCACCAAAAAAATCCCAAAAACCTGTAAATATCATTTGAGATAATATGAAATAAGAATATTTGACTACATGTTTGATTACATTAAGAAATCATTCCTTTTCTTTTAGTAGGACACGATGAAAAATTTACAGATGAGGGGCCGGCCCAGTGGCGCAAGCGGTTAAGTGTGCGTGCGGTGGCCCAGGGTTCGCCGGTTCGGATCCCCAGCGTGCCCCAATGCACCGCTTGGCAGGCCATGCTGTGGCGGCGTCCTATACAAAGTGGAGGAAGATACACAGCATGGAGGGGCTCCCCATCTGAGGTAAAGAGAATGATATAAGAAACCCAATGTCCCATGATCTACCTTCAACAATTATCAAGACCTGGGCAACCTAGTTTTGTCTGGACGGCCACTTGTCCCTTGCATGGTTATTTGAAGCAAATCCCACACATCATATCATCTTCCTCACAAAAAAAAAAAAAAAATTAACATTTTTAAAGGGAAGCGTCAGCAAGGCCTAGCATATCACCCTGCTGGAAGGTCTCCATGACCTCCAAGAGCCTGGTCGGCTGCGGGTAAGAGCAGAAGCCCCGTTGGTGGGCCGTCGGGGAGGGATGAGTGTGGACGTCTCCTGGGCAGTTCGAGGGGAAGGGAGAGGATAGTCTAGTCGCACAAGTAGAGCCCTTTTGAGTGAGAGGGTCACGCCCCGCAAGAGGGGGCCCAGGAGCTGCAGAGGGCCCAGGCACGGTGCCCGCATATCTTTTTGTGTGTGTGTGCGTGGGTGAGGAAGATCAGCCCTGAGCTAATATCAATGCTAATCCTCCTCTTTTTGCTGAGGAAGACTGGCCCTGGGCTAACATCCGTGCCCATCTTCCTCCACTTTATATGGGATGCCGCCACAGCATGGCTTGACAAGCAGTGCGTCGTGTGCGCGCCCAGGATCCGAACCCGGAACCCCAGGAACCCCAGGCCGCCGCAGCGGAGCGCGCGCACGTAACCGCTTGCGCCACCAGGCCGCCCCCCCGGTGCGCTTGCGCCACCAGGCCGCCCCCCCGCCCCCCCAATCTTAAACTACCGATGAGGGCTGGGAGAACCCGGAGCTGGACAAAGGGCGATCACCTTTGCCCTGGGAGCCAATACGTTCCCTCGAGGCCAATATGTTCCCTCGCCCCGGGGCGGTGCGTGGGGCAAAGTGAAGGACGCGGCAGTCTCTCCGATGCGGCGGTGGCGGGGGGCTTCCCTAGCTGGATTCCTGGAGGGCCAGTAACCTTGCCTGGGGCCCCTTTGGATGCGGGCTCAGGGGGTGCCAGGGCGCCCCTCTGGCCAAGGGCGCAACACTCAGAGCCAAATGGCGGCGGGAAGGTATTATTATTGCTGTTGTTGTTACCCAAGGGCAGCGCCAGCTCCACCACAAACACCAAGAGAGAGATGTCCTGAATTCCGCCCCTAACCTGCCCGGAGGCTCCTCAGACCCCTAGGGCCGGCTTGCCCCTGGGTATTGTGCGACCACGGAAAGCCTTGAACCTCTCCGCTCCTCAGGGGGCCCACCCCCGCGGTGTTGCGATGAGTCAAGTCTAGCGCACGGTTCCCGCGCTGTCGTTCTCCCCCGGCTCCCACCTCCCTCGTGCCTTCCCTCCCGCAGCCTCAGGTCCTGCCTCTGCAGAACTTAGAAAGTCCGACCCCAGCCCCTGTCGCCCCCTGCGGGAGCCTCACCCTGGCCCGGCATGAGGAGAAGCAGAAGCCCACAGGCCACGGCGCTCAGCCGCGCGCGAAGTCGGTCCAGCCGCATGGTGGGCTCACGGGTCTTTTTTTTGCGCTACCGGCTGCAGGCGCGCTACTTTTCACCGAGAGGCTGCCCAGCTGCCGGTCCAGCCACAGATTAGTGAGTGCCTCGCCCAGGCGCGGAGTTTGGACTGGGCAGGGCGTAGGCGGGGTGCGCGGGGTCGGGGCCGTGGAAAGGCGAGTTTGGCAGGAGAGCGGGACTGAGCGGGTAAAGGCCAGTGGCAGGCAGGCTCTGGCACAGCGGCTTCCCCCCTGCCCGGGCCCCCTTAGGCCTCCTTGGAAGGGGCCGCGAAGCTTCTTCAGCCCCTCCGCAATACCAAGAACCTTGTCTTCAAAAGTGCATTCTCTTTCCTTATAGTTACAGGCCGACAAGGGTGTTTAGGGGTCGAGAGAGGGAGGAATAAACTGTGATTGGGGAACCCAGGAGAGCTTCCTTGAGGAGGTGCACGATTAGGATTCGCATAGATGGAGAAATGATAGCGAGCTTCACTCAGGGTGAAGGGAACCACAGGAGGAAAGGCAGGGAGGTGCGACTGCCCTTCATCCTGAAAGCTCTTCCTTGCTTTCAGGGATCAGTTTCTTGGGTCTGGCTTCAAGGTCCCTCATCCCTTACTGTCGCTTGTCTGAGGGTCTCCGCGGGCCCCTTCCCTACTAGGCCATGGCCCGCCTTTTTAAATGCACACGTGACTGTGGCACTTATCTTAAAGGACACTCCCAACCCCATCCGGTCGTTTTCCCTCTCCCCACCTCCCGCTAAGATCGAGTTCACGGTCATTCATCCATTTGACAAACATTTAAAGAACGCCCGCTGATCCGCGCGCTGGGGACCCGGCAGGGCACTCCTGGGCCCAAGGTACAGCAGGCGCGTCAGCTGGAGGTTCCGAAACGCAGTAAACTGAACCAGGATGGATATAACTCTGGGCACCAGAGCGCCCGCCCAGCCTAAGGGGCAGACTTCCCGGAGGAAGTGGTACCTAAGATACGCCTGGCTCGTTCTCAAACTGGTCTTCAGTGTCCCCGAGAACCAGCCTTGGCTTCCGATGACCAGCACGGGCTTGCGCGGCCCAGCGCCGCCGGGGTCCCTTCTCTGTGTTTTTGCTGGAGTGGTCTCCATTTTCCCGGGTCCGCATAGACAGCCCTTCGAGGCCACCGCTCCTCCCAAACCCGAGTGCCGGCAGCGCGGCGTGTCCCTCGCGCGACCCCGTCGCCCCGCCACGCCCCCTTCCCGGAAGTGCGCGGGTAAGAGCGGAAGTGCACGCCGACAGCGGCCTGTAGCGGTTCCGCAATGGTGGGCGGCGGCGGGGTAGGGGGCGGCCTCCTGGAGAACGCTAACCCCCTCATCTACGAGCGCTCTGGGGAGCGGCCGGTGACCGCGGGCGAGGAGGACGAGCAGGTTCCAGACAGCATCGACGCGCGCGAGATCTTCGATATCCGCCGCTGCCGGGCGCGGGCGGGTTCGTGGGGTCTGGGAGGGGGCTGAAGTGATGTCCAGCAGGCGGTGGAGCTGTGTCGGGGCCGGGCGTTCCCGGCAGAGGGTTCTGAGTGGGCAAAGGCGCAGAGTCCTCTTTCCTTCACGTGCCACATCTGATTCGCTCCATCAATGACCCGGAGCATCCACTGACGCTGGAAGAATTGAACGTAGTAGAGCAAGTGCGGGTTCAGGTGAGTGACTCCCAGCGTCCGAGGGGAACGACGTGTTGGGGAGAGTCAGAAAGCCTCAGCTGTGCACCAGGGGGCTGGCGTTCTCTCAGCTCACGGACTCCTCAGGGGACCTTTGGAAGAGGGGATTGCTGTGCCCATTTTATGGATGAGGAAACAGGCCTATAGTGGTCAGACAACTTGTCTGAAGCAACAAACTAAGAAGAGGGACTCCGGGCTGGGACTGCCGTGACTCTTGACATCCCACCCCCCAACCAGGTGAGTGACCCCGACAGCACAGTGGCCGTGGCCTTCACACCCACTATTCCACACTGCAGCATGGCCACTCTTATTGGCCTATCCATCAAAGTCAAGCTTCTGCGATCCCTTCCCCAGCGTTTCAAGGTAAGTTGGAACTGAGCTTTGGGGGTGGGGCAAGCGTGAGCCTCTGCTCCTGAGGACGACATGGAGAGCAAGAGCATGGACATCAGAGTGAGGCCTGGAAGGATCCCAACTAGCAGAGATGAAACTGGGAGGAAGCTTCCCACTTGAATGGGACAACAAGAATAAAGGCCTGAGCTGGAAAGTGCAGAAGGGTAGTGAGGAGTGTGGCAGGAAAGGCAGTAGGGAGCTGTAGATAGGTTTGGAGCAGGGATGGGGCACAGGCACACCTTTAAGTCAACAGCAGTTGGCCAGTCCTTTGGGTAGAGATGGAGTGGCTGTGGGTGTGTTTGGGGTGTAATGGAAGGGCCAGAATCTGAAGGCATGGTTAGGAAGAAGGATCAGCTGGAGGTGGTGAGTGGGGCAGAGAGAAGGGGATAGACAGGGGAGTGAGTGCTCAGGCCCCACCCCTCTCTCTCCCAGATGGACGTGCACATTACACCTGGGACCCATGCCTCGGAGCATGCAGGTAAGTGTGGGCTGACATTGGGGCACTGGCCCTGAGGCTTCCCCCTTGCCATGGCGGTTGGTAGGGCAAGATGGCCGGTGGGAGAGGCACTGGGTGGGTGACTCTGCAGTGGAGGTGGCAGCCTAGAGCAAAGCTTGCCTGAGTTGACTTGAGTCTTCTGTGCTTACCATGTTCTCCCACTCCTGCCCTCTCCCTCTTCTCAGTACACAGGACCAGGGTGTGTCGGGCTTTATAGTTCAGGAGGCAGGCAGACATGAGCAGCCAGGTGGGAGGGGTCCCAAGAAGGTGGGCTAAGTGTGGGCTCAGGTGGTTGTGGTAACCTGATCCAGGCTTAGGATCCTGGGAAGGAGATGACAGGAGGGCCTTGTTGGTAGGGGTGTATGTGTATTTATATACACAAAGACTTAGAGGTAGGGCTGCCAGCAGGCCTGGCTTTGATCCTCCTTCCCTACTCCTTTCTACCCACCCAGTGAACAAGCAGCTTGCGGATAAGGAGCGAGTGGCAGCTGCCCTGGAGAACACCCACCTACTGGAGGTCGTGAACCAGTGTCTGTCGGCCCGCTCCTGAGCCTGCCTTTTCGCTCCCAGCCCCGCCCAGGGCTCATGGCCTTGTTTTCTTGAATCACTGAAAATGAGAAACTAACATTTTGCATTTTGTAATAAACCCTTAATTTATATTCATTTCCCAGTGTGCCTTAGAGTCTTTCATCTTGCTGGGGTTGCTCCAGGTTTGAGAGGGGGTGGTGTAGTGAGTGCCTAAACAGGCTGGGTCAATGAGGCGCAGTTCCAGTTTATCTTTAAAATTTCTTCCGATGGTTTGATTACGAAAAGTCGCAAGTATACCAAAAAATGGGAAGAGTAGTATAGTGAAGACACTTGTATACCCACCAGCTAGACTTAACAGTTGTTAACATGTTGCAACATTAGCTTTATTTATCTGTGTGTGTATAGTATAAATAAATTTGAGAGTAAGCTGCAGACACATGACCCTTCACTTCCAAGTACTTCATCCTGTGTCTTCTAAGAGTAAACCTGTGTAACCACAGTACTGTTATCTGGCCAAAGAATGAACAATTCCCTAACACCATGTACTATCCAGTCATATATAAATTTCCCCAAAATGTCATTCATAGTTTTTTTTTAATCAGGCTCCAGTCAAGGTTCATGTATTGCATTTGTTTTTTTTTTTTTTTTT